TAAATCAAGATTTAGTATCGATCATAGTCATGTAACATTCATTCTGATCTTCTATTCCTTTAATATTTCTTTAATTACTGAGTACTCTTGTGGCATTGCATTTTTGTTAGCAAATTATGTATATTCCAATTTTGGCTGAGCTGTTTTACTGATTAAATGTATAATTTTGTATAACTTTCAACTAGTCAATATTTCTATATACATCTATGCTTTCATCTCATTTTGTAATCACCCAACTAAATATCTAATAGAAAAATACTATGGTATCACTGTAGTCTTTAACTTCAATCAAGTCTTTCAGGGTCTTTACATAAAGTATCCTCATCAGTCTTTGAATCTACTATAATTCTTGTTTTACCAAGTGCCTGTTCACTGAGACCATAGCATTCTAAACTTTTCAGTTCAGTTGAGTTTGGACTATTGAATGTCCAGCACTTTGGGGGAATATGAAGACCAATACAAAACACAATCCCAGCCCTCATTTAGAAGAACTTGTGGAATCTCAGACATTGCAGCCAGACTTTCTTGGGTTCTTGTATTACAAGAAGGGTACCACAAACCTGTCCTATTTGGCCTCCAATTTGGTAACCCAGAGAAATTCAAATTCTTATGAGAGTATGAAATGATGGAGAGTAACATGAAATAGAAACACTTGGTATTTGGTGTGTTTTACTCAACTGATAAAAATAAAAATCCACTTTAAAACAATGTTGCTTGGATTTGTGGTACTGGTATGAAATCTGAAGGTGCAGAATGCTGCCTACATAAAAGCTCTCTATGGTTAGACAAGTTTTAGGCACATTTTTATTTTGAGCACAAAGTTGTATTTATTTTGCTGCATGTTATTGCTTTTTTAATACATGCCATGCTTACTACTCATTTCCCATTCACCATCTAAGGTGTAAGCTTTTTATCCATTTAAAGACATTTGTGGTTGCATCTATCTCATAGTTTAGATAAATGTTAAGGCATTTTCTAGGCTTAATAATTATGAGATAGATGATGGATTTTTTAATGAAATTTGTACATAACTTTTCATCTCTAGTAGATCCAGTAGAAGGCCTAATAATTCTTAATATGTAGCTCTGTGGCAAATTTGGAAGTGATGTTTTGTTTAAAACACTAAGTTAGATGATCTTTGGCTTCAGGAAGGAAATAAAATCTCCTAAATTTCTTTTTAAAAATTTCCCCTTGGTGGCTCCTATATTGCTAAACTTGCTGTTACAGAGTCAACTTTCTTAATACAAAGGAAAAATAACAATACAATATGGGAGATTTAGAGTGCTCTTAGCAAGTCTCTTATTATCCCAGCAAGGACTCTGGTGATGTGACCATTTCAGTTGTTTATGACAAAGAACCAGTACAAAAACTTAAAAAACGGAGCTGAAGTTTGCCAGATGTAAACAGTATAAAAAGACATTGGAAAGAGCTGTTAAACCCTAAACCATATATTTCTCAAACTGCTTTCCCTTGACCATTTTGTATCACTTTGGGGTCCTGATTTCAGATACATTTTCAAAGCAGTCCAGATTAATTCTGATTACCATAATCTAAGAACGCTCTCTAATTATGACTTGTATTTTAAATCAAAGAGTAAAATTCAACATTAGAGTTCCTTTTCAGAAAATCTTTGTAGGGAGAACTTTCAATTGCTTATAAGGTAAATTATTGAGGTTCAAGAATAAGCTAAAATCTTTTAGTCTTACCAGAAATGAAACTGCGTGATAGAAGCTGAAACAAACAGAAAAGAAGTGGGAGAAGACTGATGTTTGTCAGTTCAGACTAACAAACATTAATATGTCATTATGATTCATACTTGTGTATATGAGATGGATTGGCAGGTGTATATGACTTGATGAACAAAGTTTTCAGCATAATTGCCTTAGACAAAATTCTGCCATTATTTCCTTATAATTGAAAATAAAATTCACAAATCATTTCATTCAAGTGGTGCCCATTATGAAAAGTTTAGTCTTTTTATCCATAAAACAGGCAAGAGTTTTTAATTTGCCTATGGTGCATCTAACATCCCTGTTTTTTTGAAAATATTATATATATGTTTGCCTGCCTCTCTTTCTTAAACAAGACTCAATTTTTTGCATGTCTTCACATCCCAATCACAGTGTCTGACTCTATTTTAGAGTGACACTAAAGGCTTACTGAGATTATCTTGACATATGTGTCTCCAGATGAGATAATCTCTAAAATATTTACTAAAATAAGAAACTCAATCCACCCTGAAAGTAACCTTCCCCTATAATGAACTTTTTTAATCCTCACCCTAGAATATGTTTATTGATTTTAGAGAGAGAAAGGGAGAGAGAAACATTGATCCATTGCCTTCTGTGCCTGCCCCCTCTAGAGATCAAACCCGTAACCTAGGCTCCAACCAAGCCACCCAGCCAGGGTTGTAATGAATTGTTTTTTAAGTGTGGCAGTCTGTCTCCTAAAAATCTCTACATTGTGAACTCATGACTTTTAGACACTAATAAGAGGCTTAAGTTATTTTAATTTAAACCCATTGTCAATGTTACGAATTATATTTGTAGTAAGCACTAGAAGGGAAGGCGTTGTTTTGTTCCTTGCAGTATCTTCAATGTCCAGATAGTATTTGTCCCAAAGCAGATGTCAATAAATATTTATTGAATGAATGAATGTTATGTATATGTTTCCACAGGTAATATGTTTCTATTAGTACATTAAAAACATCTCATCAAATTAGTTTTCTCTAAATGTGAATGACAAAGAGCATATTAGTCAGAGTTTAAGCATTTCCTGTTACAATATTTTCTGTTTCAGTATCTTTAACCAGTTACAAGTTTTTAATAATCTTACCAGAAAAACATTACAGAGAATTAAACAGTGTTACATACATAGCCATGCCAACTATATCCTACTAGTCAAATTAACATACATGCCGAAAACTTAGCAGAATAGAAATATTGTGCCTTAGAATATGATGCTAACCAGGGAACCAGACCAAACACATCATCCCCAAAACTAAGATGACACATTAAACAACTAAGTTGGCTTTTCTGCAGAAAAGAAAGGATAAGAGCCACCAAAAACAAAACACTTACTCATAAAACTTACTTTCTTATTTGGGTCACTATTTTCAATTGCTCACTAATTTAAGATTACTAATCTTAAAATATTCTGTAATTTTATGTTATACATAATCTTTTGAGGATTAGGAAATTTTTTTCTTAAAAATCTTTCTTCCCTACAACCTAGTACACTAATCTATAAGATATTACTAGAAATGTCTGGAATGCAATTTCTTTACTAAGTGGAAGATTTTCACAGGAAGGATGGTAGAGTAAAATTTGTGTCAGTATGAGATAATCTTGACATCTGTGTCCCCAGACACACCTGCCATCTCAGTCCCCTTTACACACACACACACACACACAAAACACATACTATTTCAGGTATGACTCTTCCCTTTTTTTTAAAACAGATAATATATCTACATGGTCTAGTGAAAAGCCTTTCTCCCATACCAAACCCCACTTACCCAGATACCTCTCCACAGGTGACCCATATCTTTACTGAAAATTCCATGGATATATAAGAAAATATATATATTTTTTCACAAATGGAAACTATGAAGTGAAAATAGATCTTTTTCCACTTTATACTTTTTGCATCTTGCTTTTTTCCCCCTTAATAGTATCTGACAATCTTCATTAGTTTGTAAACTGCTGCCCCAATTTTAAGAACCATAATTTACCCATGTCCTACTGATGAACTTAGAGTTTATTTCTAATCTGTTGCTATTATGATGTATGTTCTCAACTGAGTGTGAGCTCCTTGAGAATAAGGATTTCTTTCTTACTCATTTTTTAATCCTGAAAGCTTAATATAGTGCCCAAAAAATGTTTAACAGATGTTTTTGAGTGAATTAATTGTACTTTTTAAAATGATGTTCAACTGCTTCCACTCAATGGTTTTTTTAACCCTAAGTACAAAGTACTTGGTGCTCTTTTACTTAACGATTCCTCTATTTTGTTTAAAATGACACATATATAAGAATTCCTATAAGAGGAAACACTAAGTCAAAGTATATTTGTATTTTATTTTAGATTTTATTCATTTATTTTTAGGCTGAGGGGGAGGGAGTGAGGGAGAAAGAGAGAAACATCAATGTGTGGTTGCCTCTCAAGCACCCCTAACTGGGGTTCTGGCCTGCAACTCAGGCATGTGCCCTGACTGGGAATCAAACCAGTGATGCTTTGGTTCACAGGCCAGCACTCAATCCATTGAGCCACACCAGCCAGGGTATATGTGCATTTAAATGTTAGTTATTCGAAAGCTTTTCACCAAATGTAGGTACTAATTAGTAACAAAGATATTGTCCCTCATTAAATATTTAGCACAGTGCTTAACACATATTAAGGTTAACACTATTGAGTGGACTGAGCTCATATTCAAGTAAGAAAAATTTATTTTTATGATGGCATATAAGTCTATGTAAAGTAAAGGGCTCCATCTTCTTCAACATCACTAAGTTTTACTGAGTACCTACCACATGCCAGGAAATGTGTTGAGTATATTTTCTCCTTTCATCCTCATATATCCTATAACACACATGTTTATCTCCATTTGATAGATGAAGTTGAGACACAAAGAGATTAAATGGCTTGCCCAAGTCATAGAGCTAGTAAGTGATTAATTTGGGACTAGAAATCAACCAGCATGATTCCAGGGCCCATTCTCAGAAGTTGTGTAGGGTTCATGAAAAAGAGAAATGGAAAGAGGCACTGTAGGTAGAAGGACTATGTGCCAAAGCACCAAGCGCACTGTCTTGTTCAGAAAGCAGCAAGCAGTTAGAGTGGGTTAAGCAATGTTGACGTATGGTTGTCCACAGATGGCATAAAATGAGACAAAGCCAAAAATTTAGGCTGAGTACATATTTAACTAACATGTGTGCCCTCAACATGGAATCTCCATACAAGAAAATAACAATTTCCCTTTATTCTAAAAGTGAACAAAAAACCTCATTTCTTTTCCTGAGATTGCTCTGGCATGACAGCAGCCTCTTGTTTCACTGTTTTCTTCACGGCCAGAGCTTTGAGCCTTTTTATCCTTTCAAAGCTATAGCATTTGGCTTTTTCATCAGAGGATACTGTTCTAGTGCTGACCAGATAGAAGCCTTCCATTAATAAAGTGTCAATCAGTAAGCCAAGGACATTAGTTCCATTGACCAACTTTTGGTTATCAGGTTTTAAAGAAACATACCTAGGACACATATACACAAAATGTTTAATTATAAAACATGCCTTTAATGACTACAAAACTAAATATATAAATTTGATTTATAGCGTCACATACAGGCACCATACCATTTTGATAAGATATTTTGAGTACTTCGTTTATAAATCCAAATCAGTAATTTCAAGGTAATGAAACCAGATACTTTACTGTGATTTCCAAAGTCATTTTAATTCTACATTTAGGATTATAACTAAGATTGATGAACTTTCATTGAGAAACTATTTTCTAGAGCAATTTGGTCAAATAATTATATTAAATATTCTAATTAATTCAGTTAATCATTTAAGTGAAGATTTTATACACATACAATTTTCCTCTTGATCTAATTTACCCATTATCAGTACTGACATTACACACTTTCTATTCTTTTTTTTTTGAATTTTTTTTTAAATTTTATTTTTTCAATACATTTGTCTCTGCCTACGCCCCACCACTTTCCCTTGCCCCCTCCCTCCTTCCCTCTTGTCTCTGTTGATTTCTTTTCCTTTCAGTGTTGCTGGTCTTATTTTCTTTGCATCTTTATATTGTCGGTTTGGTTCCACTTATAGGTGAGATGATAATGGTATGTCTTTCGCCCCCTGGCTTATTTCGCTTAGCATAATACTCTCCAGTTCCATCCATGCTGTTGTGAAGTTTACTAATTCTTGTTTTTCTTTCTGCTGCATAGTATTCCATTGTGTATATGTACCATTACTTTTTGATCCAATCATCTACTGATGGGCATTTAGGTTGTTTCCAACACTTGGCTATTGTAAATTGTGCAGCTATGAACATTGGGGTGCATAGGTCCTTTTGTTTTGGCGTTTTGGTATTCTTAGGGTATAGTCCCATCAGGGGAATCACTGGATCAAAAGGCAGTTCCATTTTAAACTTTTTCAGGAAATTGCACACTGCTTTCCACAGTGGCTGCACCAGTCTGCATCCCCACCAACAGTGTACTAGGGTTCTCCTTGCTTCACAGCCTCGCCAGCACCTGCTGTTTGTTGACCGGTTCATGATGGCCATTCTGCCCGGTGTGAGGCGGTACCTCATGGTGGTTTTGATCTGCATTTCTCTGATGGCTAGTGATGCTGAGCATCCTTTCAAATGCCTCTGGGCCCTCTGTATCTCCTCCTTGGAAAAGCGTCTGCCCAGGTCCTTTGCCCATTTTTTGATTAGATCGTTTGTCTTCTTAGAGTGGAGTCGAGTGAGTTCTTTATATAACTTGGGAGATCAAACCTCTATCTGATGTATCATTAGCAAATATATTTTCCCATACGGTTGGCTCCCTTTTCATTCTGCTGATGTTTTCTTTCGCCGTGCAGAAGCTTCTTATTTTGATGAGGTGCCACTTGTTTATTCTTTCCTTTATATCCCTTGCTTTAGGAGACATATCAGTGAAAAAATTGCTGCGTGGGATATCTGAGACTTTCCTGCCAATGTTCTCCTCGAGGACTTTGATGGTGTTGCGACTTATATTTAAGTCTTTTCTCCATCTTGAGTTAATTTTGTGTGTGGTGTCAGCTGATGATCGAATTTCAATTTTTTGCATGTAGCCGTCCAGCTCTCCCAACACCATTTGCTGAAGAGGTTATTATTGCTCCATTTTATGCATCTGCCCCCTTTGTCAAATATTAAATGCCCATAGAGACCTGGGCTTATTTCTGGGCTTTCCATTCTGTTCCACTGGTCTATGGGTCTTTTCTTGTGCCAGTACCAGATTGTTTTGAGTATAGTGGTTTTGTAGTAGAGTTTGATGTCCGGTATTGTGATCCCTCCTACTTTGTTTTATTTCTCAAAATTGCTGAGGCTATTCGGGGTCATTTATGGTTCCATATAAATTTTTGAAATATCTGTTCTATTTCTGTGAAATATGTTATTGGTATCTTAATAGGGATTGCATTGAATCTAAAAATTGCTTTGGGTAGTATGGACATTTTGATGATATTAATTCTTCGAATCCATGAGCATGGTATATGCTTCCATTTATTTGTGTCTTCCTTAATTTCTTTTTTCAATGTTGTATAGTTTTCTGCGTATACGTCTTTTACGTCTTTGGTTAAATTTATTCCTAGGTACTTTATTTTTCTTCTTGCTATATCGAATGGTATTTTTCTTCTGATTTCTTCTTTTTCTATTGCATTGCTGGTGTACAAAAATGCCTTTGATTTCTGAATGTTGACTTTGTATCCTGCTGTATTGCCAAATTCATTTATTAGGTTGAGGAGTTTTTTGGTAGAGTCTACAGGGTTTTCTATGTACACTATCATGTCATCTGCCATCAATGATAGCTTTACTTCCTCCTTTCCTATTAGGATGCCTTTTATCTCTTTCTCTTGTCTGACCACTGTAGCTAGGACTTCCAATACGATGTTGATAAGAAGTGGTGAGAACGGACAGCCTTTTCATGTTCCCGATCTTAGTGGGAAAGCTTTCAGTTTTTTCCTGTTGAGTATGATGTTGGCTGTAGGTTTTTCATATATGGCCTTTATTACATTGAGGAATGCCCCATTTATTCCCATTTTGCGGAGTGTTTTGATCATAAATGGGTGCTGTACCTTATCGAATGCTTTTTCTGCATCTATCGAGATGATCATGTGGTTTTTGTCTTTTCTTTTATTTATGTGATGTATCACGTTTACTGATTTGCGTATATTGAACCATTGCTGCATGCCTGGGATGAATCCCACTTGATCGTGGTGGATAATCTTCTTAATGTATTGCTGGATGCGGTTTGCCAATATTTTGTGGAGGATTTTAGCATCTATGTTCATAAGCGAAATTGGCCTGTAGTTTTCTTTCTTTGTAGGGTCTTTATCTGGTTTTGGGATCAGGGTGATGCTGGACTCATAGAAAGGGTCTGGGAGTCCTCCCTCCTCTTGGGTTTTTTGGAATAGTCTGAGAAGGACAGGGGTTAGCTCTTCCTTAAATGTTTTGTAAAATTCTCCTGGGAAACCATCCAGTGCTGGGCTTTTGTGTGCCGGGACTTTCTTGATTACTGCTTCAATTTCTCCAGCTGTTATCGGTCTGTTCAAGCTTTCTGTTTCTTCCTCCTTCAGTGTTGAAAGATTATACTTTCCTAAAAATTTGTCCATTTCATCAAGATTTTCAAATTTCTTGACATATAATTGTTCATAGTAGTTTCTGACAATCCTTTGTATTCTGTGGTATCAGTTGTTATTTCTCATCTTTCGTTTCTGATATTATTAATTTGGGTCCTCTCCCTTTTTGTCTTGATGAGTCTGCTTAAAAGCTTGTCAATTTTATTAATCTTTTCAAAGAACCAGCTTCTGGATTGGTGGATCCTCTGAATTGTTATTTTCGTCTCTATGTCATTCAGTTCTGCTCTAATCTTGACTACTTCCTTTCTTCTACTTGTTCTGGGATTTATTTCTTGTTGTTTTTCCCGTTCTTGAAGTTGTAGTGTTAGGTCTTTTATTTGAAATGTTTCTATCTTTTTTAGGTAAGCCTGTATTGCTATGAACTAACCTGTCAAGACTGCCTTTGCTGTGTCCCATAGGTTTTGGACTGTTGTCTGTTCATTTTCATTTGTTTCCAGAAATGTTTTGATTTCTTCTCTTATCTCATTATTGACCCATTCATTGTTTAATAGTCTACTGTTTAGTCTCCATGAGTTTGCAAGTTTTTGAAGTTTCTCTTTGAGGTTGATTTCCAGTTTCAAGCCCTTGTGGTCCAAGAAAAAGTTTGGTATTATTTCAATTTTCCTGAAATTGCTGAGGTTTGCTTTGTGTCCTATCATGTGGTCTATCTTTGAAAAACTGCCATGAGCATTTGAAAAGAATGTGTATTTTTCTTCTTTGGGATGTAAGGTTCTACATATGTCAGTGAAATCTCTTTGATTTAGTGTGTCATTCATCACCACAATATGATTATTAATGTTTTGTTTGGAAGATCTGTCCATTTTTGACAGTGGGGGTGTTGAAATCCCCTACTATCAGTGTGTTGCTGTCTATATCTTTTTTGAAGTCATCCAACAATTGCCTTATAAACGTGGGGGCTCCTATATTGCCAGCATATAAGTTTACAATTTGATGTCTTCTTGATAGATTCTTCCTTTAAGTATTATAAGGTGCCTCTCTGGTCTCTTTTTATGGCCTTTGTTTTGAAATCTACTTTGTCTGATACAAGTATGGCAATCCCAGCCTTTTTCTCATGCCCATTTTCTTGGAATATTTTTTTCCATCCCTTTACTTTCAATCTGTGTAGGTCTCTTGCTCTGAGGTGGGTCTCTTGTAGGCAGCATATGTGTGGGTCATGTTTTCTTATCCATTCACCTACCCTGTGTCTTTTGATTGGGGCATTTAGTCCATTCACATTGAGAGATATTAATGATAGAAACTTACTCATCTTTTCTCTTTGTACCTGTGTTCCTCTCTCTCTCATTCTTTTCCTTCATCTGCTTAAATCAGTCCCCTTAGCATATCTTGGAGTGCTGGTCTGGTAGAGATCTATTCTTTTAGCCTTCTCCTGTCTGGGAAACTCCTTATTTCCCCTTCTATTTTAATGGAGAGCCTTGCTGGGTAGAGCAGCCTTGGCTGTAGGTCCTTGCTTTTCATGGCTTGGAATATTTGTTGCCATTCCCTTTTGGCTTGTCATGTTTCTGTTGAGAAGTCAGCTCCTACATGTATCGGGGCCCCCTTGTATGTTACTTTCTCCTTCTCTCTTGCTGCCTTGAGGATTCTCTCTTTGTCTTTGAAAGTTGCCATTTTAATGATGATGTGTCTTGGAGTGGACCTCTTTGAGTCCCTCTTGAGTGGGGTCCTCTGTGCCTCCTGGATCCATGAGAGCCTTTCTCTCCTCAAATTAGGGAAATTTTCCGTCATTACTTTTTCGAGGAGATTCTCTATCCCTTGCTCCTCTTCTTCTCCTTCTGGTATCTCTATTATACGAATATTATTGCGTTTCAGGTTGTCCTGCATTTCCCTAAATGACTCTTCATTCTTTTTGTGTCTTTTATCCATTTC